TGTGCATTGTAATATTAGGAGGAGAGTCCTTTCATAACACATACACAAGGAAAGAGAGAGCTGGATGTAGAATCCATATCCAATGGCTCTTCCATATCATGTTGATAGACATCTAGAAATCTCTACAAAAGCTGGATAGGGTGTCCAGATGTCCTGATATTTAACCCTTTGTCCTGCATCCCAATCAATGTATGATCGGGACACCATTTGTCCCGATATTCAGGTAAGGAGGCGAGCGGGAGGGAGGCACTGACTCCATGGTGCTCCAGGGTTGGAGCACCCATGGGGAAAAATTGCAGCCAAGCTCCCCCCTCCTCGCCTCCTTCTCCCTCCCCGCCCCCCAGTGCTTCCCACCGCCTAACAGCTGTTTGGAGGCACTTAGCGCTTTCTAGGAGGGAAGAGGGAGGAGCGGGGATGCGGTGCACTCAGGGGAGGAGGTGGAGAAGAGGCAGGGTAGGGTCGGGCCTTGGGGGAAGGAGGTGGAATGGGGGCGGAGCAAGGGCAGATGGGCTTGGGCGGGAAGAGGCAGGGAGTGGGCGAGCACCCACCCGGCAGAGGGGAAGTCGGTGCGGTAGGGGTGAGTGGCGGGTGGGCGGGCAGGGGGGTGAAGAGGCGAGCGACGGGTGGGTGGGCAGGGGGGGTGAGTAGGCGAGCGGTGGGTGGGGGACTGAGGAGGGATGCAGCAAGCCAGCAGGGGGCCGGGGGATGAGGAAGGGCACAGTGGGGGGGGGGGCAAGCGGGGGGGGGGCGGGACCTGGGGCAGAGTGGGGGCAGAGCCTGGGAGGAACGGGGGTGGACTGTGGGCAGGGCTGACGGCACCCCAATGTGTCCCGATATTTTAGTGTTGTGATCTGGTCACCCTATAGCTGGAACAATCAGCCAGGGCTTTCGGTTTCTTCTTGATTTTCACCTCTCTCCCATTCTCAGAGGCTTAAGGTGGCCAGGGTGTAGCAAATGCACTAATGAGCCATCCCTCTCTTTCCTATCCCTGTAGCTGAATTGAACACTATTGCCCCAATCATCTCCAACTTCTTCCTGTGCTCGTACGCACTCATCAATTTCAGCTGTTTCCACGCCTCCATCACCAACTCGCCGGGTGAGTGATCGCTACGCTGGTGCTCGGTAGCTACATCCGTCTCGTTGGCTGGGCGGTAGTGTCCGGGGTCTCTGAGCTTTACAAGGCTGGGGTCACTCTCTGCAGCAGGGTAAGGTGTGGGACCTAGCCCAATGGTTTCATAGTAAGAAGCTCTTTGAGCTGAACAAGGCGATATGCTTGGAGGATCCATAGTGATTAGGAGATGGGGAGTATCTTCAATTCCAAAAACAGAGCATCTCTGGGTGGGGGTGGTTGGGTACAGGTGTCTGCTCCTACTCAGAGGGATGTCAGGTTCTTTCTCCACCCCTGCCTTTGTCTCCCAGGGTTACAAAGAAAGCATGAGCCACTGATGAGCCTAGGACTTGGGAGATGTGGGGTCGCTTCCCTACTCTGCCACATACTTCCCGTGTGACCTTGGGCCAGTCACTTAGCCTCGATGTGCGTCATCTGTACAGTGGGGATAACTGCCTTGCCTCCCAGGGGTGTGGTGAGGATAAACACATTAAAGATTGTGAGGTGCTCGGTGTGGTGGTGATGGAGGCCAGACAAATAGCTAAGATCGATAGGGTGCCCCTGTTCTACTCTCTCTCCTCAGAGGCTGAAGGACCCCTCCCCCAAGTGTGAGGGAAGAATTTGGCCACGTGAGTGATGAATGTATTTTTGTGTCATGTCCATGCAGGATGGAGACCATCCTTTAGATATTACAGCAAGTGGGCTGCGCTCTTCGGTGCCGTCATCTCTGTCGTGATCATGTTTCTATTGACCTGGTGGGCAGCCCTGATAGCCATTGGCATCATTGTCTTCTTACTGGGATACGTGCTCTACAAAAAGCCTGGTGAGTAACGGGGGCTCCTTGTTCTTAAGCAGACAGCGGCGCTGGTGAAAATGCCAGGCTGAGAGATCGGAAGTTATTGGTCTCAGAGCAGGGCAGCATCAGGGCAAGATTCCCCCACGCTCTCTCCTGCCAACGTGCCCTGCCAGGTCTGCCCGCAAGGCAATCAGCTGGGAGAGAGGTTTCTATGACGCGGCCAAGCCCGCAGTAGTAACTGAACCCAAACCCTCCAACTAAACAAACCAACAACCAGGCTCTCTGGAGCAACCCTACAATAACACAGCAGCACGTGCCCGTGCCCAGTGCGTTGCCGGCATCACTCCTATTTCTGTTTTTAAATGGTCTAATACGTGCCGAATGATTGTTCCTCTCCAGAAGTGAACTGGGGCTCGTCTGTGCAGGCAGGTTCGTACAACTTGGCCCTGAACTATTCCGTGGGACTCAACGAAGTCAACGAGCACATTAAGAACTACAGGCAAGTAATAGTGCTGTGTGGAGGATGATGGCAAGGGAACATTACCCTCATCCCCAAACATGGAAGGGGCCCATGTATTTGAATAAGTCCCCCATGTTCCCCTCAAAGGCATAACCAACCAACTGAACCCCAAATGAGCTTGAGTAACTTTGTTTAAATTTCTGCTCCTCTCTGCACCTCTGGGTTGCAGCCAGGGCCGGAAGGAGGGTAGAGAAGGAGAGTTTTCATGGTCTTTTCCACCCAGCTAGACCCAGGAAGTCCTTGTGAGGAAGCCTGAGATCTCCAGCCCAGTTGTGTACTTCCTGGAGGATCTGATAGTTTGGTAGTGAAGGACCCAAGCATCCAAAAAATACTGCTTAGATTGGGTGGGTGCCATTAGCAGTACAGGGGCGTAGTGATCAAATTCTTACCAGAAGATCTCAACAGTGACTTCTTTACTGTAAGTTACCAGCCATCTTTTCTTCTTCCTCTCTAGACCCCAGTGCCTGGTCTTAACAGGCCCTCCCAACTTCCGCCCAGCCCTGGTGGATTTTGTGGGCACTTTCACCAAAAACCTCAGCTTGATGATTTGTGGGAATGTGCTGATAGTAAGTATTCTCGGTTCAGCTGCTCTCTATCACCGCCGTAAGAGTGCAAGGTGGGGTAGGATGCAGGTATCTACACCAACCCTAATCTGGGCATCTGTTCACTGCCAGTACAAAAGGAGCAAGCTGTGTGATATACTCCCTGGCAGGGCCCTGAAAAATAATATCCAGGGTTGTTAAATGCATGGGGCTGACTCTTCCAGTCCTTATGTACCCCATGCAAACTGCGGGTCTTTGTTTCCCTCTGGTGGCGGGGTCACCTAAGAGGGTCATGAGGCTGATTTTGTCTCCAGCTAAGGAGCTTAGATCATGTGGTGGAGACTTACATTTTCAGCTCTCAAGGTCCTGGGTTCAAACCTCATTAATGACCAAGGAGTTGGTTCAATTTGAGTTTTGCCAGAGTGAGGATTTCAGGATTTGGTGCCCTGACTTTTGAGGAGTTAGCACATAGCAGAACTTTGCAGGTTAGTAGTCTACCACTGCTGAGTGAACCAGCACCTACGCTGCCATACCCCTCTGTCACAATGCAGCTTGCAAAGCCCTCAACGTAGTGCATGAGAGCTGGAGATAAAGCATTCTTGGCTGAGGGGTTTACTTCTGGCACGAGCTTCCTAAGAAAATTAGAGTAATCCAGAGTCGGGGCACCCTGAGGCCAAGATAAAGACCCAGAGCATACCAGCCTGATGATAAAAAACCAAAAATATTCTCCAGGCAGAGCCTCCTTTAACTAGGGAGAGAAACTTCATGAAGACCACTAGGAATCTCATCATGGAAGTCACTTAGATACTGTGGTCTTCTTCTTTCATCTGGCTTAAAACCAGCACTGCCGGATGTCCAAGTCTAGGTTAGTGATCCAATGGATTGGTTCAGGTGATGCGGAGTAGATGGCAGAGATCTCACCAGGATATGATGGCTTGGGATGTTGATTGAGGAGGTGTTCCGTAGTTTGAAGTCCATTTCTGCAGTCACAGATAGGATTGTTTCAGTCCCCAAAAGCAGGTGCATCTGTCATGTGTTGTGGGATGCAGCTAAAAGTCGACCATATTTTCTATGGGAATGAAAAACCATGGGGTTCTTTGGTTGGGTCCTTGATGAGGTGTTTGACTGGGATGTTGGCGTCCTTCCACCTTGCTCATTGTGGTGATGGATCATATAGAAGACTTGGAGGTAGATAAACAAGCCAGATTCTTTCTCATGTACCTGTGATTTAAAAATATATTTCTAGGCACTCTTAAATGACAAAAAAAAAGTAAAGCCATTTCTGTTGGAAAGATCACAGGCTAATTAAGCAATATTGGTGACAAGCTACAACGTTGTCATGGGCTAATGGCCTCCTGATGCAGATGAATTGCCAACGTGAAGATCAGGCATTGCTTTTAAAAGGGGACATTGATCAGAGGACAACAGTCTGTCCCAGTGACTTCATTTCTTCCAGATCAAATGGCTGATGTAGATGTATTCATTTTTGCCTGAGGTGTAGCAGACTGACAGTTGCTCACACAGAGCCTGATCAATGGGAGCATAATCAGTACAAGCTAATCTTGCAGTAAAGGCACCAAGATGAGGCTCTATGGTCAATTTCTGGCTGAGTGTGACTTTGGGCAAACCACTGAGGCTGGGATTTTCAAAGCTGGATGGGTACATGAATATGGATCTGTGCACATAAAAGTCCTTCCTTAAAAGCCACCAATGAAACCTGCATTCCAGGCCATATCATGAAGGCCTTTCACAGATTTTACCATGTCCTGTGCCACATAAAACTTCATTGGTATCAGTGAGATTTTGACAGAGGCAGGACTGAATTCTGGTATCATTTAAAGTTCACAGAAGTTTTCCCAGAGATTTCAGTGGGAGACAGAATCAGGACCTGAGTCAGGACTTCAGGATTTGGCCCTATAAGATTGTCATCGGCTTACAATTATTTTTAACCTTATTTTACACACAGACGCCCTGTGGAGCCAATATTAATGTAAAGTGTGTGTGGCGTAGAGAACATGTATTCCAAACCACTCTGCAGTGTGATGAGGATTAATTGAACTTTTGCATAATGGTGGCATGGAAAAAGTACAGAGAAGGGCAACAAAAATGACTAAGGGGATGGAACAACTTCCATGTGAGGAGAGATTAAAAAGACTGTTCAGCTTGGAAAAGAGACGACTAAAGGGGGATATGGTAGAGGTCTATAAAATCATGATTGGTGTGGAGAAAGTAAACAAGAACCACTTAACACAAGAACCAGAGATCACCCAGTGAAATCAATAAGCAGCAGGTTTAAAACAAACACTAGGAAGTATTTCTTCACACAACGCACAGTCACCCTGTGGAACTCAATGCCAGGAGATGTTGTGCAGGCCAAAAGTATAACTGGGTTCAAAAAAGAACTAGATAAGATCATGGAGGATAGGTCCATCAATAGCTATTAGCCAAGATGGGCAGGGATGCAAGCCCATGCTCTGGGTGTCCCTAGACTTGTGACTGCCAGAAGCTGGGACTGGATGGCAGGGTATGGATCACTCGATAAATTGCCTTATTATTTTCATTTCCTCTAAAGCATCTGGCACCAGCCACTGTCGGAAGACAGGATACTGGGCAAGATGGATCATTGGTCTGATGTAGTATGGCCGTTCTTATGTCATCCCACGTTTCCAGGGTCTAAGTTTGGATCTCATCTATGATTCAGGAGACTGCAGGAAATAGAGCTGCTTGGTGCAAAGTAAAGCGTATTATTTTATGGGGATAAACTTAAAACCACCAGCTTAAAATGGTCTGCATGTTGCAAACACGCTGAGCCTTAATGCTACTGTTGTGTCCTTTCCTCCCACGCAATAACAGGGACCATGCAAACAGAAGATGTCAGAATGCAGGCTCACCTCCAACGGCCATACAAAGTGGCTGACCAAGAGAAAGATCAAAGCTTTCTATACGGACGTGGTAGCTGATGACTTGAGAAGTGGAGTCAAAACACTTATGCAGGTAAAGCCCTAAACTGGATATTGAATCATGACGGAACTGCAGTCCCCTGCTGTAAGTCTTGCATCAAGGAATTCTTGAATGTTTCTTACAAGGGGCCTTCAACCTTTCCACTGAGAAGAGGTCAGTATTGTTGGGGCCAGCATGATTTGCTAAGGGATGGATTATGACTTGAAGTACATGCCTGTCCAAGGGCGTAAGGGGGAGTAAAAACTCTCCTGGTGCCTCTTCATGGGCTAGCCAGCACCCTTCACTCCATCTCTGGAGCAGGTGGGCGGGGAATGAGTGGACCCTTGGCGCCAACCCCCCTACTCACTGGCCAATGTTATAATTTGCTATTGACCTATTCCACTGGCATATTATCCCCATCCCCCATGGAGCAAGGAGGAGGAGTTGAGATTCAGAGGGGTGTCCCTGGGACTGCTCCTGGCATGATGCAGTTTACACACTACTCCTTGCTCAGAACTGAGCCTAGAGGGCACCATCTAGCAGCTCATGGGTTATAGGACTCTGTGCATGTGATGATACCTTCAGATGAAATAAATGCATGTGTGTATGGCGGGGATGTATATATAGTCCTATTAACACTGGAAAAATATCTATTAACCAAGGCATCCGGTCTTGGGAAGATGAAACCCAACATCCTGGTGATCGGGTACAAGAAGAACTGGCAGACAGCTCACCCTAGGACTGTGGAGGAGTACACTGGAATCCTGCAGTAAGTTGGGAGGCTGGTTGATGGTAGCGTTGCCTGCTTAGTTTGCTCCCAGTTAAACAGTAGAGAGTTCTGGGTGAACTGGGGGACACTCAGGAAGGAATATGGTGGTGTATAACTATCCATCTTCATGAATACACTGCAAAGTTTGAACCGGCAGCTTCCATTGGCTCCCAGTTTCATAGAATCATAGAATATCAGGGTTGGAAGAGACCTCAGGAGGTCATCTAGTCCAACCCCCTGTTCAAAGCAGGACCAATCCCCAACTAAATCATCCCAGCCAGGGCTTTGTCAAGCCAGACCTTAAAACCTCTGAGGATGGAGATTCCACCATCTCCCTAGGTAACCCATTCCAGTGCTTCACCACCCTCCTAGTGAAATAAGGAGTGAAATTCCAGAGTTTAGCCTCTGGAAACTTAGCAAGGCTGTTGCAGCCACTGGTCAGCAAGATGTGTATTGGTGGGTGTTCACGGCTACTACCAGTCTCTCACTGCAGAGGGGAAGGAGGGGCTTGAGGCTAAAGCAAGGGACTTGGGAGTCAGGAGGTCGGGATGGAGGTCTGGTTTATATTCCTGGCTTCCTGTGTGACCTCTGGGAAGTCATTCAGTCTCTCTGTGCCCCAGCTTCTCCTTCTGTAAAGGGGGATAAGAACCTGACCTGACCCTGAGTTGTGACTTTCTTTAGAAGGGCAAAGCATTATTACCATGATTGTTCTTATTAGCATGTGTTAAATTACGTGGATTCCAACCATCACAGTTTAGCTGCACCTCAGACGTCTCAATTGCTCTGCCTATTATTGCATCCGTACACTGACTCCATCTCTCCAGCTGCCTTGACCGCATCTGATAGACAAAGGCAATCCCAGTGATGCATTTGCTTTGGCTTTGCTCCAGTTAAGGGCTGACAAGTGTTTGCATCAGTAGCATGTCCAGGCACGTGGGGAAAGAGCATCTGACACGCTCTGTGCTCTGACCAATCCTGCCCACCCGCTCATGGGTGGAAAGGACTCTGGATGCAGCAGAAAGATGATAATTCCGTTGCATCAAGGGTGCCATGGAGCAGTGGTTTCTGGAAGCTCATTATGCTCTGTGAAGATCCACAGGTCACACTTTCCCCCTACTTCCAGTGTGGAAGGGAAACACAGCCACTGTGGTACTGGGGACTGTGCCTTTAAGGGCTGAGCGTTCCAGACAGAGTTTGGGTGAGGCAGTGGGAAGCTCTTATTAGGCACAGCCAGTCAGGGCCGTCCTTACCCATATGCAAAGTACGCAGCTGTGAGGGCACCAGAAAATTTGGGGCACCAAATTTCCTGGTGCCCTGCGCAGCTACGTGCTGCTCCAGCCCCTGCTCCGGCTCTTGCCCAGGGCCCCCGCCCCTGCTCCACCCCAGCCCCACCCCCACTTCCCTGAGGAGTGCAGCAGGGCCGGGCCTGCACTCACCGACCCCAGCTGCGCTGCCGGTGAGTGGTTCCCCCTGCTCCCCAAGCCCTCCCCTGCAGAGACCTGGGGCCAGTCCCCCCTCCCCTGCAGAGGCCTGGGGCCCCACACCCCTTCAACCCTGCTGGGGGGCTGCGTAGGGCCCCAGAATAGCTAGGTACAGCCCTGCAGCCAGTTGGAACTGGACACAAAATAAAGCAGAGCTCTTGCATTCACCTTAAGCACTGAGTGATCACTGACCACCACCTCCACCACAGCCCTGAGACTGAAGCGAGTAGCTCTTGGGCTGCTCTGTACTGGAGTAGGAAGGCTTCATTTCTCCGGGCTCTCTCTGAGACTCCTCAAGGTGTAGCCTGGCTACCTAGGATTTGTGTCAGGGGCAGGATTTGCTCCGTAGTAACCTCAGTTACAACGATCACACCAATGCCTTTTGTCTTGAAGTTTTGGTTAACTTTTACAGGCATTCCTCACTGGAAAGGCTCAGAGGTCAGGTTCTTTTGGTGTCTTGTCTCCAACAGCGACCAATGTCAGGTGCCGCATAAGATGGCCAGCGTACTGAACTAAAGGGACAGCCCCTCTGAGCTGTTCCTATGGTCCCATCGAATGCAAAGAATGTCAATGCTGAGTACGCGTTCTCTCTCTCATTCCAGTGATGCGTTTGACTTCAAGTATGGAATATGCTTAATGCGAATGAAGGAAGGGCTGAATGTTTCCAGAATGATGCAGGCTCACAGTAAGTGTCTATTGCAGCCACACCTGCAGGAACTGCAGATCCCTGTTAGACTGTTAGATCCCTAGCCTTAAGTAGCAGTGAGTGCACACTGGCATATCAGTTGAATGGATGAACACAATAAGTCAAACCCACTTGCCCTTTGCAGATCAGTAACGTGCCTCTATTGTTAATAATTAAACAAGGTGTCAAATATTTCCCCCTGCAAGAGAAAGGACTTTGACACAGAACTTTGTCTGTACGTGGCCAGAATCCTTCTGATTCCCCACATTCTTCCAGTTACTGCAACTGAACGTGCTATTCTTCACTTCCAGTCCTAAATCATTTCATGGCATTGCTCTGCACTGTTCCACCCGAGAGGCTGCTACCCAGCATCTCACGGGGGAAATGAAGTGCATAACACATTTCTGGGTCATTGTAAAGTGCCCCCTAGCCAGCGGCTCATTGGGCTGACATGGTGAAGGCATGTCAGTTTCATAGCCAATGGTGCACAAGGGAGTGGTACTGCCAGCATCACGTCTGACTGCCTTTGATGGCCCTGTCCCAATGGATCAGGTGCCCATTTTGCCGCTGGGTGAACTGGAGGTGGCCTTTCAGTGTGAGATCAGGTAAGACAAACCCACAGCCTGCAGGACTCTAGACAAGCCCTTGAACAACGCAGTCACCCCACCTCACCACAGATTTCTGGGTGAGATTGCAAAATTCAGAGCTTGCTTTATGGGGCTCCAGCATCTGAGACCAGCCTGGCTGCCTGGTTCTCCTTTAATTCATCACTACACCCACAAAGAGTGATGAAAGGCTATAGAATGAATTGCCAGTGTCATTACAGCAAATTACTCACAGGGTGACCATTCCCTCCTGTGCAGGGGGCTCGCACAGAGTCTGTGCCAGGGCCTCCCAGAGAATTCAGGGGGCCTGGGGCAAAGCAATTTTGGGGGCCCCTTCCATAAAAAAAAGTTGCAATACTATAGTAACATGTATTTGGAAATGTAAAAAATAACCAGTGAAATACATTCAAAAATTAATTTTTAATAATTTGAAAATACACGAAATACATTATTTAAAAACATGAAATGCTTTAATGGTATGTATACATTTGCAGTTACATAATGGGCTGTCGCTGGGTGATGGTGATGGTTGGTGCCAATGGGCTGTCACTGCCTGGGGGTGGCGTTGCTGTTGCCCAGGGCTGGGTGGGGAGCTGGGCTCTGGATCGGGGGGTGCC